CACCTATCCTCTTTACTAGTTCCCTTTCCATTTCCTTCCTCATGGATTTTGCCTCCCTTTCTTACCACCCCATCCTTTATTGGCTCTTAGGTCTGTGCTCAACATCTTCATAATCATCTTGCTCCCTACATTGTTTCTAATATTCAATTTAAGCAGGAAACTCAGTGGGGTGGGAATATCTTTTCACTGAGAAAGCTTTAAGGAAAGCACACATGCAAAACAATTAAGGGTAACACTCATCTACATTATGCCCTGCCCTCCATCTATCTTCCACTTTTGACCAAATTCCTCCCATTATATGTATTTACCACCCACCTCTCTTTGTGTGCCTCCTTTCTTCCCTGCTCCTCTTCCGCTCTTTTCCTCTGCCTCCCTCCCTTCAGCTTCATCTTCACCAGTCCCTCCTTCCATCCCTCCTCCCTCCCCTCATCTATCTAATCTCTCCGCTCTTTCTCCCCTTCTCTCTAACTCCCATCCATTAGCGGTTATTGACTTTTCTCTTTGTGTCGCTGTCCTCACCTCTGCTCCATCACGCTCACTCTTCTGCAACTGTATTGGCCCCCAACTGTCTAACTGGCAGCCATGCACACACACACACACACACACACACACACATACACTATACAGTAAGGTACACAGGTTGGGTACAGAATATGCTTATGAATTATATTTTAGAAAATACATAGTCTCCTCCTAAGCAGACACTGCATGCTCCCACACACACAATAACACACAGACATAACCTCTGCCCTCACTCTGAGTGTTCCTTGTCTCTAATAGCTGCTAACTCATTTAGCACTTCATGTTAGCTAAACTAGATCCAATTAGAGCAAGAGAGAGAGTGAAGTTTGAGCAGGAGGCTATTTAACCTCCTGGCAAAGAGAAATGTAACACTTCAAATGTAACCATTCAATGATATTATGTAGAGTAACAGATCACACACCTGGAAAGTTTGAAATCTGAATTTAGGGATTTAGTTACATTTCACCTTAAAGCAAAACAGAAGAAACTAAATTGGCAGATGAAGGTTTCTGAATTAATATCTTGTAAAGTCTAAAACCATAACTGTTAAGAATAGCAGAAGGCAACAGGATCATAACAGAAATTGATTCCTGGACTGAGCCTATGTAAGACTTCAGATCACTAAATTACAATGATAAATTACAAAATTAATCACAACAAAATATTAGTACATATAGAAAACGTATCTTTTGTGGTCCTTTTATGTTTATTTTGAGTTTTAATGTTTGTGTAAATTTTCTTTTTGTAGTTGATGTCAGAATAATCTAGTTATATTAACAGGGATATAGTATTTGGGATATTGTTGATATGAAAGTCTAATCATTCTCTAGGTTTTATGCCCTTTGGTTTTCTGTGGTTCTACATAGCTTGTTCAACACAAAAACAAATAGTCTATAGAGTCTAAAGCATTTTAACACCATCAAGGTCCAGCTACTACAGGCTCGAAGCAGTAAGGGAAACACAGTGATCTCTTATGTATACTTGTGCATATGAGTAAGTGTGTTAATGACTCCAATGGGCCAATTATAAACATTTCTTGAAAGTTAAGTGAATATAATAGTTTATGTACATCTGAGTATGTTAGTAAACTAAACCAGATTCTCCACAGAGGCTCAGTTTTAGAAGTTAGAAGATGTATATGTGTGCTACTGCAAACCCTAAGACTGTTCCTCATTTTTGTGACCTGTGCTCACTTCTTGCTTCTCGTTGTCACAGCGTCTCTTTGAGAAACTTATTTCGAACGGCTGTTGCAACTGTTTATATTGTTCTGTGACTATGTCACAAAACTGGCTGGCATAAACCTTATAGAAAACAGAACGTATATTAGTGCATTGCCTCTTCTTGAATTCAGGAAGAACTTTCTGTGTATACACAAACAACAAAGTGCAGAAAGCAAACTGCAACAGAGTGCAAACAACAAAGAGTTCACAAACTTGATGTGAATATGAATGAGACTAAGTCAATACCTAGTATATGGCTGGAACGCATATGGTCAAATGCGCACAATTGAGGACCTAGATGAATATTGTTGTGGAACCGCTGTAAACAACTGACATCATCATGTCCTATTCTCTCCTACTCACTGTGCTCACATATGTAGTATTTTAATACAACTGAATTCCCAGTAAAGCTGTTCTCATTTACATGTTTTTCTGTTTCTGTTGTCAGACAACAGAACAAGTTTGAAATAGTGACTGAAACATGCTCCATTAAGACTACATGTTAACTTTCAAGCTACTGTATTTCCAAGCTGCTGCTCTCCTGCTGTTAAAATCCTGATTTTATTATTATAACGTCATTTGACAAAATCACCAAACACGATTTTGTCTATATTTACTTGTAAAATGATCATTCAGTGTTAGAAGTGACAGAATATCTTCCTTATTTTGTCTCACACACAGTGCACAGCCTCTGTCTGGGTAGATCTGTTGCTAGATTGCTAGTCTCTAAATCTAGCGACAAATGCATTAAGTTAGTAACCCTGTAGGCTATAAAGGACCCACTAATTGAACCTGTTAGCACCAATTCATTTTGAAGCAGCAACGGGCAATGGGAAAACTCCAGCTCATTCACATGTCATTCGGTTAGCCTATGGTAGAAATAAGAACTCTCATCTCTATCAGTCAGTCAGTCACTCAGTCAGTCACTCAGTCACTCAGTCACTCAGTCAGTCAGTCAGTCAGTCAGTCAGTCAGTCAGTCAGTCAGTCAGTCAGTCAGTCAGTCAAGGACATTTGCAATTACAAGGCTGGTCCTGCTGTTGCAGTCCAGCCAAAAAGACTTGGTCTTCCATAATTCTGAGTCACTGTTTATTTTACACAGTCATAACTAACCAGATAAAATATACATTTTAGGAATTCTGTCTCATTTGCAAAATTAAATTCAACCTATAAATTATTTTCACATATTGGGAACATTAGAGATAATTTGTGTTTGGGTGAAACACTGTCTTGGGCCCATCAATCAGAGTACATTAGTAATAAACCAACATTGCCTCACTCACAAGACTGAAGAATCTTGTTGTATTCTTGTTGTATAAAGCGCTTTGAGCAGTCGATAAAGACTGCGCACATGTCATTCAATTGTTCTTTCCCTTTCTTTACTTTCTTTGGCTTTGTTTTTAAAATAATTTTCTCATTCTCATAACCCTAACCCTCATTTTCTTATTCTTTCATCTCTTTCACAGTGTCTCTATACCATTCTTTCTTTCTCTCTTACTCACTTTATCTGCCTCCCTGTCCTGTGATTGACAGCTGCTGGTGGGACTTGATCCACACACGTCTCAGTCCCTCCTGCTCTGTAATTAAAGGAATTATACATCAAGAGTCCTGTGAAATATATATAAATAAATAGGGAGAATGAGCTTTGCTTAATTGCAGAGACAAGAGGATGGAAGTGATCACAGCCCAGTAGGACTCTTTTTACACACAGCTTGACACAGAGGGAGGTGAAATAGAGCTTCTGAAGCAACTGGCATGTGGCTGGAGTAACACTGTCTTTGTACTTATTTTTTCCTTACACATATGATGTAACTCTGCATAGGACTAGTAATGATGGGAATAAAGCTGCGTTATAACCAACATTATCACTATGTTTAAAAAAACCCTTATTTACTTCAGTGAGGCCACTGCATTGGCTTAACAGTGGTCCAAAGCAGAGAGCTCAGAAAAAAATAGACAGTCATCTGGCAAAATAGTTGAACCTGGCTCAGTTTTTGTTGCAAGGCAACACGACATTATCCGCCAACTGATTGAGTCAATGAAATCTATGCAAGCACACTTTCCTGGTAAATTACTTCGGAAGGTAAACAGGGCAATCCCACTGGTTACCTCATGATTGTCTTGTGGATAAAATGATTGTTGTTGATGTGAACTTTTGAGAGTTGGAAAATCCTTCCTCAAAGTATTATAAATCACTGTACAGTGTTTTGGTATCTGATACACCTTCACACTCATGAATGTATTAGTTAAACCAGCTTTGCTGCATTGCATTTCATCCTCACCCCTGGACCTGAACAACACACCCAAACCAACGCAGTTGCCTGCATTTTTTAATTTTAACTGAGAGCCTTGAAAGAACCTGGTGGAGTGTGCTGGTGAGTGAGTGGTATCCATAGATGTGTTTGCTAAGACCAAAGTTATTCTTAAGCATTCTGTGTATTACTACACAAATATCACTAGAGAGAAAAGAAAATGTAGATAGATCCCTTCTTAGTAGTGACATGACAAATAAGACTACAAGTTTTCATAAACAAAACCAAATAGTGATGTTTAAATACTTATAAAATAAATAAATTATATGTATGTGTTATATGTATGTCATATATGTGTATGTGTGTGTTAAGTCAGAGAAGGGTTTGACATCAACAAGTGTATATGTGTGAAATGTGCTGATTGAAGCACTCACAATCAAATCATGGAGGCACTCACTCACACACACACACACACACAAATGCACACACATGCGCACACAAGAACACACGCACACACACACACACACACACACACACGCACACACACACACACACACACACACACGCACACACACACACACACACACACACACCCTGTCCATATGTAGGGACATCCCCTCCAACAAAAAAAACAAAATCTTATTCACAGATTAAAACACTGTAGTTTGGGAATAATTTTATGGCAAGCCTCCAGGGAACAAATCCAATGCAATGTCCTCATAAATATAGTAATACAAGTTAATGTGTGAGTGTCACTCTTACTTATTAAGTCCTTTCGTTCACCAACACATGGATTATTTGTCACAATTAGGACCAAGCCTTTGTGGTACGTGCTCTACCAGGTGAGCCACTGGGGCGCCCCGATTGTTTGTCACACTTGTCCTTCCAAGTGCCCTAAAGCATCATATGCCCCATGATCTTTCATACCTTGTTGTCCAATGAATCCCACAAAACACAGGTACACACATACTCATGCACACACAGTACAAACATCCCTTTCATTCTACCTTGGGTCTTTCTGAATAGAGTCGATAGAAGGTGAACGCTGCAGGCTGCCTTCAGGTGGCAGGGCTGGTCCAGACTTGCTGTAGGGCGATTCAACCACCGATGGGCAGTACTGCAGGGTGCGGTAGGGGTCCGCCACATAGGGATCTGAGCCATACACATCTCCGCCTCCACCACTTCCACTTGAGGTGTAGCCTGGTCCCACTGTGGCATAGTTGTTCCCGCCTCGGCTGTAGTTTCCCGTCCCTGTGCTGTGACTTCCTGTGCGCTGCAAAGGGGCGGAGTCGACACCAGGGGAGGAGGGAGCTATGGTAGGAAAGTAGGGACAGAGGACATAACTTAGGACCTGGTCATGGACACACTGGGTCAGGTCTGCAGGGCAGAGGAGAAGAGGAGAGAATGGAGGGAGAGGACAAAGGAAAATGAGAGGAGTTGTGGAGAGGAGGTGAAAAAGGGAGAGGAGAGGAGAGGAGAGAGGCAGAAACAGAGGGTTGTTGGAAAAAGAGGAGCGTGTCTCCATATGGATGGATAAATATTGGCCACATGCCCAGGATTAAAAAGGAACAATGTTCAACAGAGAGATGGATTGAAGAGGGAAAAGAGAAAAATATTGACAAAAGTTTTGCAGATACTTTGACATCGTATTAATGACTGCAGAGAAGAAAATCAGAAAATATAAAATACATAGAATTATCAACTGTCAACTACTTTGTCATTGTAAATGTACTGACAATGCAAAGTTATTCTTTAGAGTATCAAATCTATAAATATTGTTGATATATATATGTTGAACGCATGTTTTTTTTTCAAATCATAAGCAAATAAACAAAAAAGTGGCTTCAGTTAACAGAAATGCTTCACTACAACTTTGCCATAGTTCTATTCAAACATGAAGTGCAGTAAGCTACTAAAAAAGCTTTAACTTTAACTTTGACTTTAACAGCACTCTACACAACACTAAGGGTTTGCAAACATTGTCATTGGGTGACAAAGCTAACAGTGTTAGCTAACAGTGTTAGCTGCACCCAATGACTCATCAGCCTGTTATTTCCAAACAATGAAAAATGGAAACTTTGCTTGTGAGCCTGTTTGCAAGTAGCTAGAAGACAATTGCAGAACCTTCTTTTTCTGTACAATCTGCCTGGTGAGCAATAAGGACAAAAAAATACTTAAAATAAAAAAACAAGCTATTTTTCATTTGAGTGAGATGGAAATTACATCTGGATTTGCTCAGGGATATGAGCAACCTGCAGGGGCACAGTAGTCGTTGTTGTCACCTTCCTTCCCATCGTGTTGGTAGTGTTGGATCAGTGATATATCAAGGTGTTAATGTGAGTCTGGGAGCCTCATTTCTCTGGCTGTAAAAAAGCTGAGACAGATGATGTGTGTGTGTGTGTGTGTGTGTGTGTGTGTGTGTGTGTGTGTGTGTGTGTGTGTTGCATCTGTCATTAGAACCCTATGTGTACACAGAAACACACATGTACAACCACGCAAAAACACCATAAATGCATTCTTCAAGGAGTATGCAATAAATCACAGAGCCTTGAGATCAATACATGGCCATGTGATTGACTAGGGCTTTAACACAAGTCAATGAACCTCCTCCTAAAATAGAATAAGCCTTTAAAAATCATGTCTGGATGGGAAAATGCACACAAACTACAACACACACCCATGCATCTCATCTACACGTAACAGGGAACACATATAAACACACATATTTACACATGACATAAGCCCCTGCACTAAATTGATGAAGGAATAGAGGATGTTTGAATGTGTGTATGCTGAGGTTGAGTCTCTCATTTTTATGTGATCAACAAACTTGCTCTTTAGCGCTGTCTTGAGTGGTGGCATTTACTTGACCTTCACAACCCTCTTCTCTCTTTTTTTTTAAACAGTCTTCATCTCTCTCTCTCTCTGTTTCACACACACACACACACACACACACACACACGCACACACACACACGCACACAGTATATGAAGCAGATTTTCCAAAGCTCTTATTCAAATTCTTTGCACCAACTCTGTTAAACTCCATTAGTTGGAGGCACAAGGAACCTTTTGGATGATGTAACCATAATAGCATATTTTGATTTCCTAACTCGAAAATCAGGTTAACAAAAATCCTTAGCCAGACAGACAGTGAAAAATTCAAGATTCAGACTCTGCCATGCAATGCCCATGAGGCTAAAGGCTGTGTGAGCTCTTCTGCTGATGCCCCAAATTTGACAAAGATCCAAAGAATTGGGCAGGAAAAGAGAAACAGTGAGCGAGCCTGGGAAACAGAGAGAAACAGCTGAGGGATGAGAGATGGGGCTGCAGTTTAGAGAAGAGCCAAACTAAAGGGAAGAGGGAGGAAAAAAGAGGCGATGAAGGGGGAGACAGTAGAGCCACACAAAAGAGGGTATAGGAGGGTAATGAAGCAGAGTTACTCTCATCAGAAGCAAATCCCAGTCTTTCCTTCTACTCTTTAAATGGTGTCTGTGGTGTGTCTGTCTTTCTGAATGTCTCATTAGTAGCTGAAGCTTCAGGCTACTAGATCACAATATCAGTGTGCGCTTACTGAGAGGCTTAGCACCCAAATAGGATGAACCTTACTGCAAAGGAGGCGGTAGGAGAACAGTGAATGGAAGAGAGACAGAAAACCCAAAAAATGGCCTGTCAAATTATTTTTATAGCCCGGGCTGAGACCACTGAATGGGTATGTCCTTGGGAAGAAGCTGAAAAAGGAAGGTAAAAGGGACGGTAGCACAAGTAGAGAGAGATGTTAAGGAACATGAAGAAAGAGAAATCCCCAAAAGGTGCCATGCCAAATTATTGTTTTAGCCCGTGCTTTTGTTTTTACATTTTGTTACTCTGTATTCAGCTTCCCCATGCCTCTTTATGCTTTGCATTTTCTCCTTTTCTCAATCTTTCTGTCTGCTCTCCCTATCTGCTTCCCCTGCCTTAAGTACATAAGTGTTCCTGAATTTATCATTTGTTCTGGTAATGGTGGGCTCTGACTGATGACTTGACCTTTGGGGCCATCATTGCCTGGCAAAAATCCACATGTTGATTCCTGTTTATGCAGGTATATGTGTCATTGTGTATGAATTGTGTGTGTATTCTTGTATTCCTGTCCTTGTGAGAACCAGGTTTAAGACTTTTGGAATAATGACATTTTGACCGCTAATTAAGCAGTTTAAGAAGTTAAGACTTCAATTTAAGATTATAATTAGATTTAAATTTAAAGTGAAGCATGTAATTAAAAGTTAAGGTTTAGGTTCAGGGTTACAGAATAAACACAGAAATGAAAGGTCCTCACAAGTATAGTTAGACAAACTTATGTATACGTGTGTGAGAGGGTGTGTCTTTGATAAAGTACAGCACATGACAAACTCACTGTGTCATTTCATGGAATATTAAACAAATCACGAAATGTGCCATGTGTGCACAAACGCACACAAACGCACACACACACGCTCCACTAACACCTCTCTCACCTAACGCACTGGCGGTGTGAAATTGTTGTTTGAGAGGAAATAAAAGGGCAGGTGTGTCTTTGTATTCCCTTGCTTTGGCGTAGAGTAAACAAATCACGGCTGTGCTCCTGCTGGCAGATTAGCGACGGGAAGGGAAACTCTATTAGTCATTTGACACAGTGATACCTCTGCAATTAGCCAGCCAGTTGAGGGGCCGACTAGCTTACAGTGGGGCTGACTTTTTTTCTTTGCGCTGGTGAGACAAGGGAGCCCCAGCTGAATGTGCAAGAGATGGAGGAAAACAGGGAGGGAGAGAGAGAGAGGGGTGGAAAAAAATTAGAGGGGGATCAAACAATCCTCTGAGCATACCATGTCCATCCCCCCTTCTCATTCTTTCATCTCTGCCTCCATTTCTTTCAATCCTACTCTGTCTCTGTCACTCTCTTTTTTTCCATCACTCCCTTGCCCTTTCTCCTCTTTCTTTTCTTCTTTCCATCTTCCTCTAGATCTGTCCCTCTTCATCCATGCCTCCATCCGTCTTTTCTTCTCACCCATCTCTTTTGAAATCATAGCTTTGCCCTCCCTCTCTTGCTGTAGTTCACTCGCTCTCATTTTTTTGTCTGTCATCCTTCCTCCATCATCCATTCATTTCATGTTTTTCTCTCCCTTTCTTCCCCTAACACCCTTTTCTCTCCCCCTCTCCCTCTATTGTGGTTGTAGTAGACTATGTGATCAGAGCTGAGGACATGTCCTTTCTCCCGACACGCTTCAATGCTCAGAACGATTACACAAAACCCCTCAGTACAGTCTCTATCTCTCACACATGCACACACTCACACAGACATGCACAAGCACACAAACATGGATTTCTAAATATGCAAGTGATAGACATGGACTAGACATGCATGCCTGTAACACATCTTTTTCTCATGCTTTAAGGTCAACAGCATGCACACGCAACCTTGCCTACAGCGGCCATGAATGAAGAATGCATTCACAAACACAGAGACCCATAACACACACACACGGTTTGGATGTGGAGGAGAGTAAGGATTAGTTTCTCCCTCTGTTTATCCCTGGGAGAGCCTTCTGGCCAACGCACAGCTCTTGATGTTCCTGAGCTGGAAGCTCTCGAGAACACCACACACACACACACACACACACACACACACACACACACACACACACACAAATGCTCTTTTTTGCACTTTCAGTATCAAGTCTACAACATTTTACAGTGTGGGAGCTGTAGGAAACTTGTATCGAGGTGCCATGTCTTTCTCCAAGAATGCTACTTAGACACAGCTGAGGCTTCAGGCCAATGGCTACTGCTTAATGTTCATGTTGTGGAAGGACAATAGTGAAAGTCATAAAATAGATGAATTTCTTGTCTTTCATGTGTGTTAGACCAAGACTGGTTTAAAACCTAGTATATGGCTGGACCAAGTATGGTCAATGTGCAAAATTAAGGATGTATAGTTTTTCTGTTCATATTGTCAGAGTGGAACATTTTTGAAATAGGGACTGAAATGTAGGCTATTCAGACTACATCTTAACATCCATGCTGCTGCTCTATACTGCTAAAATCCTGATTTTATAATGGCAATATTGTCTGACAAAATCACCAAACACATAAATTAAACACAAAGACTGTTGTGTGATTTCACCTATATGTACTTGTAAATCGATGAGATTTGAAGTGACAGAATATCTTTCTTATTTTGTCTCTCACACAGCGCACAGCCTCCATCTGGGTAAGACACTTCTGCTCTGCCTCTCAGCCACTCTCTCTAACTCTCTTAGTAGCCAAGGATTGTCCAACTTAATGCATTTTGTGCAA